GTGCCAGGGGGAGCCGGCGTGCAGCTACGCCTACAGCCAGTACGCCGAGGCGTGCGCGCCGGTGCTCGCGCCGCCGCGCGGGGAGGCCGACGCGCCGGGAGCTGCCGCCGCCGCCTTCCCAGCCTCCGCCGCCACCTTCTCGGCGCGTTGGCGCTGCCCGAGCCACTGCATCTCGGCGCTCATTCAGCTCAACCACACGCGCCGCGGGCCTGCGCTGGAAGACTGTGACTGCGCCCAGGACGAGAACTGCAAGTCCACCAAGCGCGCCATCGAGCCCTGCCTGCCCCGGACGAGCGGCGGCGGCGCGGGCGGCGCGGGCGCGGGCGGGGTCATGGGCTGCACCGAGGCCCGGCGGCGCTGCGACCGCGACAGCCGCTGCAACCAGGCGCTCAACCGCTACCTGGCCCACTGTGGCAAGCTCTTCAACGGGCTGCGCTGCACCGACGAGTGCCGCGGCGTCATCTTGGAGATGCTGGACGTGCCCAAGGCGGCGCTGCTCAACGACTGCGTGTGCGACGGCCTCGAGCGGCCCATCTGCGAGTCGGTCAAGGAGAACATGGCCCGCCTGTGCTTCGGCGCCGAGATGGGCAACGGCCAGGGCAGCAGTGGCTCGGACGGCGCCCTGGACGATTACTACGACGAGGACTACGACGACGAGCAGCGCGCGGGCGGCGCGGGCGGCGAGCCGCCCCTGGACGACGACGATGGCCTGCCGCGCCCGGGCGGCGGCGCTGTGGCGGCGGCTGGCCACGGGGACCTGCCCTATGCGCCCCGGCGGAAAAACGGCGGCGGCCGCTCGGTGCCCCGAAGCGCCTGGACCCCGTTTACCTCCCTCTTGCTGCTGCTGCTGCTGTGTCGGCCCCTCTTTTAATCCTCGTGCCCTGTGGACTTCGTGAAGGCCCGGGCCGCGCTCTCCGGCTCGCTCGCGCGGTCACGCGCGGGCACCTGTGGCCGCAGCTCGTCACGCGCCCTGGGGGCTAAATAGAAGGGACCATTGGGGATACTTTCCGAAACGTTTTCAAAGTAGACTGCCTAGATGGTTTCCCTAGCAGCCGCTTGGCATTTTCCTGGTTCCGTTTCGGAGTGTCTGTTCTTGGACATCCCCGCCCCCATTGAGGTCCCCCAAAAGCCCCCATCTCGCCTGTCTTGCAGAAACTGGCCGAGTGAAATGGGATTGGGGGGACCAAACCCTAGCCCGGAACTCAGAAGAAAGGGTGCCGACCAGTAGGACCTTAAGGGTTTCAATCCTCAAGGGGACCAGGCTTGGAGCTGGGGATTTGAAAGATCTCTTTTGTAAAAGAGCTAACATATTAGCATTTTTCCTTAACTTCTGGGCAGGGTGGAGGGAAAGTGCTGGGATCCATTTTCATTGATTGACCAGAGTGGCCATTGAGGGCATGGCAATCATAAGTCCCACTTAGCGATTCCTTCCTTTGCACTTGGCACCAGAATTCTCGCTGACATTGGAGAGGAAGGGGAGGGAGTGCTTGCCTTAATGGTGGGTGGCCAGGGGTTAGTATTCCTGAATTCGTTTAGGTTGACTTTCAGCCCTTGACCTTCATTTCATTCCAACCACTGATCTCTTAAGACATTTCTTTAAGGCTAAGGGTCAAAAAAAAAAAAAAGCAGACCTGAGGAGTTGCTAGTGGTGTTGAATGAGGCAACTTTTTAATTGAAAAGAACTCTGCCCAGTCATCAATGAAAAGCAAGCGCTTTCTGATGTTTATTGTGTTGTTATTTTTGTTCTTTACATCAAGAAATCATATGTAAAATATGCGGAGAAAGTATATTGCCTCTGCTGCTATCAGGGTGCTGAACCCTGGTGTATCATATATAAAGTGTATTTAAAATTGGGATTTATTACCAGTTGCTGTACTTTGTATATAGAATTTTTATAAATTGTATGCTTCAGAAATAATTTATTTTTTAAAAAAACGTTAAAAGTTTTAAAGCCACATGTTACCCCCGCCCCAATGTATAGAATCCATTTGCCACCAGGGATACAAACCACAGTTCATTGTGAAGTGTGCTCTGCTTCGAACAGTCCTCAATGTACAGTGTATTTTATAGAGCTGACATTAACATTCTTATTTTCAAGAGAATCTATGGATATTGTAGAAATGTATAAATGCATTTCCAAACTGCCTTAAACATTGTATTTTTATAGACAACGTTTTTTAAAAGCCTGATGCTTTAAATAACTATGGGTTTGTGTATTTTTTGTATTTGTTTCATTAAAAAGTGTACATCAGTAAAGTTTTAAGTAATGGAGATGTTGTAGTTACTTTCCAGACTTAACATTGTGGTTAACCTAGTAATATGTGAGGAGGAGGGTGTGGGGTGAGGGCACTGGGAATCTACCAACCATCAACTGAAATTAAAATACAGTACAAAACAAGAAATAAGGGCTATTATTTCTGCCTTTAATTTAATGAACAATTAGACATCTGTAAATGAGGCAGTTAAAAAGGTATAATTGACTGACCTCCATTAACTTTTTCATTTGTTAAGCAAAGTGGTGTAAGTAGTGTCTATGCTCTATAGCTTGAGTAGCCCAGACATCTCATTTTCCCCTGTGCCATTTTCGCTGGTACCCCTGCCCCTCCACCCCCAGGCCCCCACCCCCACCCTACGCACCAGGGGTGTTGCTTTGGCTACATACAGTCACACATACCAATAACATCTGTTACCAATAGGGCTTATTTAGGAAACCTTCAAGACTTGAGACTTCAAAGTCACTTTCACACTTTTGGTGAAAAAGTATAAAAAATGGTTGCAAAACATTCAAGCGGGCAAAAGTAAACAGGCTGGGGAGAGGAACAATGACCAGGACTTGTAATATTGTTGTGAGGAGTTGTTTAGCAGCAGGCTGAAGGCTGGGTTCCTGCCAGAGCTACTGATCTACACTCAAACACCCTTAGATAAATAATTACACTCTTAAGCTGTGTCGAGTGCTGATACACTTGACCTTGTAAATAGAAATGTTTGCAGTAGGAATAAACTCCGGCATTGGAAAATCTTTTAAACATTAACACAAAGAGAGCGCTCTCTCCTCTGGGGATTTGAGCTTGAACCTTGCCAAGCTAGGCACTTGCAAGGGGGAAAAAAAAGTTTATTTATCTTCTATTCCTGGTGTTTATTTAAAGCTTTTCATTTTAAACTTGGTGATTGGAAGGCAAGTCAGGAGTTTAAAAGTCACCACAAATAAACTTTGTCTGAGGGGTCGACAGATTAGCAAGATCTCGTGTCTCTTTATTTGATATTAACATGTGCTGAGAAAACATAACCAGATTTCTCTGCTGCCTAAAGTAATTAACAAAGCTATGCCTGTCCCAACTTCCTCTACCCATGGTCACCCCCTGCTTTCTAGGTTTCTTTAGCCTTTAACTCGCTCTTTCCCCAGCTTTTATGGAGAGATTTGAGGCATTTCTTGTACCTAAAACCAAGATTAGTATACGCATAGCATCCAAAAGTTTAAAAGTTGAAGTAGCCAAACAAGTGCCTATGATGAGGGTGTGTGGCTGGAATCTCAAGTCACCTGAATGGTTGAGTAAACATATTGTTGAAACAAAGCTCAGAGCGTTGTTGCTTTGAGTTGAGAACAAAGAGTATTCTGAGAGACTTGTAAATGAAATCGGCTTGCTTTACAAAACGGACGAGTTGGCAATCTTTCCGGCTTCATCCTTAAATATATTTAAATCATCTCCATCTCATGTTATTTTAACACATTCTTGACTGAAAGTTAAATCTTTGTCCCATCGGAAAAGCCCAGGTTTTTCCCAGTAAAAAGTAAAAGACATTAGCAATGGAAAATGCCTGATAATTAACTGCTACAATAAACTCACGACTTGATTTTACAGGGTCCTGTCAAAAGCATGTGCCTGGAATAAATCAGCACCGCGGTTCACTCGGGGAGAGAGAGAGAACGTGAGGCCCTATGGCTTTATGCTTGCTTTCCTTGGTGGCGGAGGCGGGGGCGGGGGTGTGGGTGTGGAGTGAGGGGGTGTTGAACCTTGGTCAGTGGTACATTTTAATTTAAACAATTGTGCATGGGACCCCAGGACTGCCCCCACTTTACCCTAATACAAACCTAGCGAGTTCTAGAATAATTTGTTCAGATATTAGAGCCCAAGGTTGTTAGGTGTGGGATTGCCTGGTGCTATCTGTTCCTCAGCAAAATTGAACAGATGTTAGCATCTGTAAGATCCCAAACTCTCTGGGGAGCCTTTAGGAATTTGGGGCATTTGGCAGTCTCACATGTGTCTTAACTGAGAATGCCCCGGAAACTCCATTAATGAGGGGAAAGGTACCTGGCTTTTCTTGAGGATTCTCGAAAAGTCACACCCCACCCCTCTTCTAACAGAATTCCTACCGGTGAACACAACGAATAGTGGATTCCATTAAAAAAGTATGCATCCTCAGAGACATTCTCATTTCCCCAGTTAGCAGGTTTGAATTCTCAACGACAGTTTATTTGTCTTTGGAGGCACGGCAGTGACAAATGTTTAAGGGAGTGTGGGACAATGGTCGAGAACAAGGGGGCAGTTCATTGAACTGACAGTGACCATACAGTAAATAGAAGGAGGTTCAAGCTTCACTGCTCATCCAAGCACGCAGGGAAGCTTTTGTATATAACCACAATGGACATAACATAAGGTCTCTGTTTATTTTTAACAATATATAGCAATATATTCGAGTAATGCGTCGGGAAGGACGCCCCTGTTACTACCTAACAAGCCATGCCCGTGCTCAGGTAGGGCTCTGACACATGCCCATAAGGTGGGAAGCAGCTGCTAGGCTAGCTGCCACAAAACGAAGGCACAGAAAACTCTAACACTCCTGGGGGCCCTGAGGGTGAAGACCCACGTCTCTACTTTGAGGATTCAAGATAAATCACCTGAGTAGGGGTTCCTTTCTTTACCACCCTTCCTGATCACCCCCCACCCTCACCCCACTTCACCCAGCAAAGCTAAGAAGCTAGTGGCGGTGGTGGTTGCAATCCAGTCCAATCAGACTCATGGCGACCCTCCGTGCCTGAGTTGAAGGGCCCCAGTTGAAGGGCCTTGGCTCTCATTTTGATGGAACCAGATGATTAGGTCTCTCTCTTGGGGAGCTTTGGGGGGCAGGGGGGTGGGAGGTTTGAACCAGCCTTTCAGTTAGCAGTGGAGCTCCTGTTGGTGCCAGCAGGGCTCCTTACCACACGGTGCCGTATAGACTACAACTCCCGGGCACACCGTGTGAGCAGAATCTCACTATTTCATGGGATTTTCAAGGCTACGAAAGCACAATAACAGATCAGTCTGGGTGATGGAACATCAGAGTAGAATTGAATCCCCAACCTTTTGGCTGGTAGTTGAGCACTTACCTATTTGTACCACCCAGAGTCAGAATCAACTCCATGGCGAGGTACAATGGCAGAGCCTGAAAGACAAAAAAATCACCATGAGAACTTTCAGAAACATCAAACACCATATTGAAAACCTTTCCTCTTCTAAGCTTTGGCTTTTCATTATTAGCGTCTGGCGTTCACTGTGGAAGTTCTCTAATACAACGTCACGGATCACTTTTCCAACCTGTGAAAGGAAAAGCATGCTTTATTTGCTTTCAACGTCTCACACCAGGAAACCTGAGAAACTTTGTCAACTGCATTTCCCCCAGCTGCCCAGAACAAGGTTGTCGGGGAACACCATGTTCTAAATGCCTGATGAGCAAAAGGCAGTTCTAGCAGGGTTGGATTTCCAGGGGCTCTTGCTGCCTTATGGGTTAAGTAAAGTGGGACATTACTGTATTGGACTTGAGGGATTGCCTGGGGTAGACAGTTGAAAAGGGTCACCCTTGACTATCTGAATGACTTAAGTAATGTACTACTAGCATAAATACCTTCTGAGGCATCCATTTAATCAATTTCTTAAATAACAGAATGATCTACTACAAAATAGTGAACTGTATACACTATATTTTGGCACAAAGATGGTCATTCTCCCACTAGTAACTAGGGGCTCTAAATAAATGATTTCAACAATGTTTTATTAAAGGACGACAAGAGCCCTCGAGCTGCATTAATGGGGGAGAAGTCGAGTGGCACTTTTGTTATGGAAATGTTAAGCACATAATAGCACAGGCCAAACAATGTGCAGCCACTTCATTCTTTCAGCCATGCTGACACCTCTTGAAGAGGAACTGCAGGGAAGGATGTGGGAAAGATTTGCTTTTCCGAGGAGGCTTTCAGCTAATATTTTGGAAGGCTACCTCCAAACTCCATGCAGCATGGGTCTTAAGGAGTGAGGTGGGTCCCTGAGGTGCAGAGAATGTTTACTCCCCTTATTTCAGGAACAGCAGTTCTCTATTAATAGGTACATTTGTTTGGTATGACATTCTCAAAACTGATGTTTTGATGATTTTACAAGGGCACACGATCAACTTTATAAAGTTGCTCAGAATCTCATGTTCTGTTGCCCTGTTCCCTGGAAGCAAGCAGGGAGCTCCTTAAAGCCTACCAACACAACTTCAGCAGTGGAATCTGCCACCTGGAACAAAAAAGTAAAGTGATACCCCTGTTGCCAGACTTTATGGGTGCTCTTGGCTGCTCTGGCTAGAAGCATGCATGCATTCTTACAAGTTTATTTCCAGGTGTAAACTATACAAGTTCTGTTTGATATTTTTGGGTTCTTGGGTAGAAAAAGGAGGTAATAGTTCACAACTAAATCCTATTCCGTGTTTAATTACTGAGCAGGTGTCACAAAGCACCAAAAAAGGGTAACTTTTTATTCAATGTGGTCTGAAGCCTTGGCAGATGTCTCTTTTAAAAACAAAGAACACCCACCCAACTTTCAGTTTTAACCCATTTCATTTTCTTATGTGCCTAGTAGATATGTGACTGTTAGTGAGCCTATTTGGAGCAGTGTAGTGCGCTGTGATCCGCATGGTAGTTCAAAACTGCCAGCAGCTCCCTGGGAGATAGACTGGACTTGCTACTCCTGTAAAGAGTTACAGTCTCAGAAACCCAGAGAGGGGTCACTATGAGACAGCACTGACTCCCTAGCAGTGAGGGTATGTGTGTCTTTAACAAGTGTTGAGACAAGCTTTCATGGTCCCTAAAATGTACCTCTGGAATCCTGAGAGCAGGTAGGAAAGTATAAAAAGGGTTCATTTTTCATCCATGGGCATTGGATCAGGGTCTACCATATGGTTGATGGGTACAGATGTAAATATGATGTAGTTCTCCTATTTAATGAGCTTAGGATTGGGTCTAAGAGCTAGACACATTCAGA